AATTATCCAGTTAAAGTAAACATATTTCTACATTACAACATAAGCAAATACTAACATATGATAGACAGGCTACTTGTCATATAAAAATATATTTATACATTTACTTACATGTTGGCTATAAAAGTTAATGTGTCACATGTGACAGGCTTACATGTGGTAAATTACTTTAATACGTGATCATTGTAATATTCACATATTCCTTACCTTAATGTGTCACTTCAGCTGCCAGCATGACCTCAGCTGCAATCTCAATATTTGGCCAGTTTTGACGAAATGACCGATCGTGTTCAGTGTATAAGCTGGGCCTCGTCCCTTATATAACTTGGCGCAAGTTGACGACGCGCATAGAGAGCCGGGAACCAGCTTATGTCGTGTTAACCTGGTTCACGGCTCCCTATGCGCGTCGTCAACTTGCGCCAAACAATAAAGTGATATTAGAGACGGGGCCCAGCTTAGTGTTAACCCGGAACAAGCCATTTTACCCATATTCCCCTACGGTCCAGGGCGCCATTTTAGAACATGGATGTAAACAAACCTCGTGTATCGATATACACTGTGATTCTTGATTACGATAAGCTTACCTCGTGTATCGATACATTGTTCTCATTCACCTCCACCACGGAAATGCCGGCCGAAGTTCCTCTCAGCCATCCACAACGCGGAAGTCAACAGTATTTGGAAAGGCGATTGGCATTGCCAGGTACGTAGCAGGGCTTCGAGGCCTTATGATTTCTGTGCAGAGATCTTATGGAACGGATTGATGTAGATATTTTCCAGCTCTACATACTTTACCGTAAACGCCAAGGGTCCTTTTTTTAGTATTATGGTCAACTGTTTGTTAGCATAAGAGGCGTAATGGATTTGTGGTCAAAACAAGATGATCCAAATTAGATCCGCTTTTTTATAGATAATGAAGAAAAGTACCAAGATCTAGGAACGATTATTAACTCTTAACTTTCGTGGGATGCTAATACAGATTATAATTTACAATAATGGCCACCAAAGACTTTATTTTTTTTACGCTTAGGATATTGTTATAATTACACTGTTATGTCCTTGTTTTGTATAAGCTTCATAACTTAATCATTCAATATTTCATGGAATGACTCTGACCTTGGCGAGGATCTTTTTTGCAACAAGTGATTCCTTATGTAAAGTGTATGTTGAATGACCCTGGCTTTGTTGTCAAATAATTGTTTGACAGTTGTTAAATATGGGGTTATGTTTTATCTCTGAATGTTTGGGATGAAATATTTTAATAAGGACAGTTCTAAGTTGGAAACTCAACTGGGGCCTTTTCAACTGAATTCAATGTACAGCATGTACAGTTTGGACATTTCTCTAATGTGAATGCTACTTATGTTTGCAGAATGTCTGGATGAATGAATGAGTCGGTCATCTGCACAGCATCAATGGAAAAAGGGAAGCAATGAGGAACAAGAGAAGAGTAGCAGTGAGTGGTAAATATTTGAAATTATTCTGTTTGGTTCATCATGTTCATGTAGCTATTCTGCAAATATTTCTTCAGTTTGCTTGTTCTTTATCACCTGTTGGCATGGATGGCCTAATTATCAAAGGCACTACAACTTCCTGTGCATAGTTGCATCTCTTGGGCTTGACAGAAACCAATGGTCGTGGGTTTGAATCGAGGGTAGCATCATACACTTGCTTGTGGGTTTCATCAAAGTGGTAAACATGTAAGACCTGCATCACTTCGGGCTTTCTTCCCACATCAAGCTTACATGCCGTGATGTAACTGGAATACTGTTCAAAGAGGCGTTAAACCCAATTCACTCATTTAACACCACATCCAGCAATAGTTCGGCTAAATGACAAGGATTATAAATTAATCAAATCTCAAATCTCAACTAGACAAACCAGAGATTAATGTTATGAGCTCGATCCAGACGCACCGATGATGACTGTTATGGACAACATCCCATGTTATTGGGTACGATTACGAGCTTTCAATGAGCCCACTTGCTACCTCATCTATTACTTTGGGTTGTATGGCAAGCATAGGTTGCTAGGAACATTTTTAAGAGATGTCAGTTAATGATTGTTTCAACTCATCAGCATGGAACAATATATATCTCAAATGTTTGGTATATAACAAAACTCAAAGATGATAAATTAAGTGAATTTGCTGCCTTTTATCTGTAAGTACATGTTGCAACAATTCTTTTCTTTTGCTACAATCTTTATACATAATTTTGCAGAAACTGAAGTCCAGCTTGAGATACCCGGATGACAGGTTGACAGTCTGGAAGGACCCTTCCAGATATCCGAAGTGATTGGCAGACAGCGATGAGGAGAGTCCTGTTATTTCAATGGGAGCCTACCGAGAAGTTATATGCCAATTGACACTGGGACACACTCACAAAGGGTGGTCAGGCAAATGTGAGAAGACCAACCAATGCCAAGTCGGAGTGGGATCCTTCAAGGACGTTGAAGAAATTATTGTCTTTGTCCATGTGGTAATCACTTGAAAGGAATGATGTTTGCGACTGCTTGTCTATAAATGTGGACCCAAACACCAAATAGAATGTTCACAATTCTACTAACACAATGCAACAGGGATAGAGCCCATCTGGCCTCCCCTCATCCTGGTTCCTGTTTTTCCATGGCAATATAGAAGGAAAAGGATGTTTGAGGGCAAGTAACTCTGAACTGGTGAGCATGGTCTGCTGATGCTTTCAAGCGAACAGTTATCCCGCTCTGTTATGAGTATTGAAGAATAGGAGGAAAGTGCATACTGCATCAGGAACCATTATATGAACACTGTTCAATGTGTGATATATGCATATAAATAAAAGAAATTGATAATTTGTTTGTTGTTTGTTTCTTTAGCCAGCTGTGTAAATGGGGATTTTCCAATATTTTGCCTCAGTTTGATAGCCACAGTTATCGTATAAAACCATGCATTGCTTGGACATCTTTGGAATAACACATTGATCTGCTATGTCAAAGGTCAATGTCACAGCCAGACAAAAAAATTGTTAATGGCCAAACTCTTCCTAAGGGCAGGGATAGAAGTTGGCAGCAGGTCATACACTTACTTTTTATCCCCCGGCATATAATACGGGGGATATAGTGATCAGCCTGTCTGTCCGTCTGTCCGTCCGTAATCATTTCCTTTTCCGGGGCAGGATTCCCAAACCATTCAGTGTATTTGATCGAAACTTGGCAACTCTTATCAGGCACATACTGAAGTGGTGCCTTTTGATATTTTGGGATTTTTCTAATTTTTGTTTTTTAAAATTTTTATGGAATGAAGTTGGACATAGACTCAATTGGGGATGGGGTTCGTTTCCGGGGCAGAATTCGAAAACCATTCAGTGTATTTGATCTAAACTTGGCAAAGCTATCCTGCACATACTGAAGTGGTGCCTTTCAAATTTTGGGATTTTTCTAATTTTATTTTAAATTTTTTTTTTTAATGGAATCAAGTTGGACATAGACTCAATTGGGGATGAGGTTCATTTCTGGGGCAGAATTCGAAAAACATTCAATGTATTTGATCGAAACTTGGCATTCATATGGATTTGACCATGGTGGATCTTTTGTGGGTAAACAATGTATGCTTCTTAAAGAACATTCAACTGTTGACTCATTACATACAGAAATGCACTAGTGGTTACTTTACAGACAGCTGCCGGGGGGATATGTCATCTTTCTGATGACTCTTGTTCTCTAATGTGCCTTTTCCTGCAGAAGTCTAAATAACTCTTATACACATAGTTGTATATCATTGTCATATGTTTGTCAATATTACACTGAATGAAGCACTTTACAATTGTTTTTGAAATAGTCGCAACTGATATTGAAGGTCAAATTAGCTTTCAATGTCTTTCAGTAAAAATGTTCACAGTAACTGAGGAACAGCTCTCTGTAGTGTGATGAAATCTGGTACATGTCACCCTCAGAGTGAGGCATATTGTGTTTCAAACTTAAATGAAGCTGGTATGCTCATAACAAGTACTTGTACCTTTACAAATAATCATATTATCATCTCACTAGGACCAAAGGCCCAAGTGAGCACACAGTCGATGAGTTTATACTTTCACTCAGAATAATCTGGAAGTCTGAACATGAAATTTAAGGATATCATCATACATGTATTAGAACTGATGTTTGTTCATTAAACAGCTTAACATCTAAAAAGAATTATAGATGAAATTGAAAAAAATGTCTTCTCCAAAAGTACATGCCCATAGATCTCAACTTTAAGGGGATATTTACAACTAAAATGACACAGAATATTACTACAGCTATCTGATATGCCCAGGCTAACATTATTTACCAGAAATAAGACATCTCGAAAAATTGCATCTGGATACCTGCCGGATACCTGCCGGATACCTTCAGCAATGTTCAATTTTCATGGTTAGTTTCCAATATATATTTAGGTGTTTCACACTTAATTGAACAAAATGCACCCCCAAATTGTGACAAGTTTTTGGAAACTCAGAATGAGGTATCCGGTGCCGGATTCTTGGTATCCGGTGCGGATCCTTGGACACCCAGATTGAGGTATCCGGTGAGGTATCCGGTGCCGGATACCCAGATTCCAGGTGGCATACTTTCAGGTGAGGTGTCCATGCCGGATACCACGGATCTGGTATCCGGCAAGGTATCTGTCACCGGATACCCGGACGCGTTTTGGGTAAGTGTCCGGTGGTATCCGGCAGGTATCCGGATACCGGAAACTGCATTTTTTTTGCTGTGTATATATCTCTATTTAATGCTGCTTTAGTTCAGGTATTAATGTGATGAATACCACGTGTCAATGCTACCGTTAAGAAATTGCCTATTCATTTTGTTTTAAATGAACAGAAGGTTCATATATCGTTGGGTCAACCGTATGTTTAAATTACAGTGTCACTCATTATCCACATGTGAGTTTTGTGACCGGTGATAGAACTGATCTGAGAAAATGTACATGAACATAATAAATTATGCATCCATCTCTCAATAAAACTATAAACTCAAAGTAATACCTGAGCTGTCAGATTGTTCTCCGTTTCAACTTTAAATCCAAACTGCTCAAACAATGTTTTCAGAGACTCTGCGTCTTTACAACTGCCATCTCTTCTGGAAAATCTTTCTGTAAATTCGTAGTTGTTGATGATAAACAGTAGCCCTTTTTGACCGCCTCTCATATCATATTCCTGTAACTAACAACATGAAGAAGCAACCATTATGTGTTTTCATTATGTTGAAAGTTTTTGCAAAGGCAAAGGAAATCTTGGGTTATCTCGACGATCATGGACTATTAAATCACGAGGAGACATCCATGCCATTACAGTGTAAACAAGAAGCTTGAAAGGACCGAGTAACAGTAACAGGTTTAAAGTACTTACATCGGGAGAGAGGCGTTTGGTTGTCGGGTCACAGAGTTTCACCGGAGCTGCAATCAGGTAGCAAATATGACAGTAAATATTAATATCATACTTCAAAAAATAAAATATTTTTCCTTCCTCTGATAGTGTCTTATTTATGAGACGCCACAATATCAAAGGAAATAGAAGGTAGAAATTGTGAATCACTCCGAATATTAGAGTATACAAGGAACCTAAACTAACGGGCAAAAGAAACGCAACCTAATAATTTTCTGGTCTAAATCAAAATAGACGCAAAATGTAGTAACAGTTAATGTTTTATAATAAAAAAATATTCAATAGGGGTATTTGAAAATGACAAGATAAAAAAACCAACATACACTAAAAGTTCTCCAGACACGTTTATCATGCTGGGTGCACTGTCCAGTATACAATCACACCCACAGAATGGACGTGGATTTCTTTTAATGTTGGTTAGATGGATGGTTGTTTAACCCCCCACTTAGCAATGTTCCAGCTATAAGACGGCGGTCTGTAAATAATCGTGTTTGGACCAGACAATCAAGTGACTAATATCATGAGCATCGATCCACACAATTGGGATCGATGACATGCATCAACCAAGTCAGCGAGCCTGACCACCCGATCCCGTTAGTCGCCTCATACAACAAGCATAGTCGCCTTTTACGGCAAGCATGGTTTGCTGAAGACGGGTCTGATCTTCACGGGTCCTCTTTTGACGTCCCGTGCTAGACACATGGCTCAGTATAGGTTGTGACCACCTCCAGCAACGACGCAGGGCCTAATACGACTTCAAACTGAGTACACGAGTCTCCTGACATCCTGATTAGACATCCTACGCCATTCTTTCTGCAGGGGCAATTGCCAAGGCATCCCTCGACAATGGCGGCTGTTGACGTTTCCGAATCCTGCGTCACAGTTGGTCCCAGAGATGCTCTTTGGGCGACAGGTCCGGTGATCTGGCTGGCCACTGTAATACGGTCACGTTGTTGGCGTTCAGAACGTCGCTAGTAACTAGAGCTATGCGAGGGGTGACGTTGTCCTGCTGGGTGTAGTTGCAGGAAAGGCAGTACCACAGGCCGCAAAACCTCATCAATGTAACGACGTGCAGTGAGGTTTCCGTCGATGATGATCAGATCTGTCTTCTGGTCCCAGAGGATGCCACCCCAGACCATGACACTACCACCTCCATGAGGCTCCACTTCTTGAAGAGCTGGCACCTACTCTCGTCCCTGAAGAACACTCTTCGCCGATTTTTATGCTGCCACTGCTCTACTGTCCTGTCCCATCTCAGTCTGTGACGTCGGTGTAGAAACGTAATCGCCATGCCCTTGAAAGGTCAATGGGAACGGAACCCATACAGGCGGAGTCAACCAGCAACGGTCCTTCTGCTGACTGGGTGTCCAAGGCTGATGATGATGACACGGTTAGGAATCTTGACCTTACGTGAAGCACCCGTAAATACCGGTCTTCCTGTGGGGTCGTGACCTTGAGTCTTTCACTCCTCAGCCTGTCTGCAGTACTGCCAGTTTGCCTGTGACGTGTGACAAGTCCGGCGATGGCGCACTTGAGAAAACCAATGATCTTAGCATCGTGCTCCTGCGTCGCTCCAATTTGCAACATACCAATGGCTCTCTCCCTCTGCTCTGCGATTAGTCGAGGAATGGCTGTTGTTTTAAACGGTTTCATGTGATGAGGGAGTACAATCCTGCTCATGGTTATACCAGAATTTCATACGGGCAACTTTGTGCATATTTTGCAATTTCTACTGATTAAATTCACTTTTATCGTAAATCCCATGAAGCACGTGCACATGTTCACAGGGAAAATGTAAGTTGCATTGCAGCTGTGTGTTCTCAACTGTTTTCGTGCTGTTTGGCAAATTTGTTGCAAACTGACGACCATTATTTATTTATACATTCGTTAGGTTTCTTTTCGAAAATAATGTTCATTTCATAATAATAATTTTCAAGAATGTATTTGTTACATCAGTCAACCATTATAATGTTCCATTTTACAGAAAAGAATACAATCTATTTTCGTGAAACATATTTTAACGAAACGAAATTCAACTGTTAATTTGATAAAGCTGGTTAAATGTTGTTTCATTTTTCCCCATTATCGACTTAAACAACCAAGAGGTACTGTGCCTAGGTTGCAAGCGCATCTGTTTTATTATGTCACTGCAATATAATATGTGAATAATCAGTCTCGATTATCTGCCCAAACAGATTCCATAGGGCGTAAAATGGTGCAATATAGTGGTGTAAATTATGTGTTGGGGGATCATTGAAAATGATGTCTACAACTCTTGTTGAACTTGGAAGACACAAAAATATCATAACAGAAAAACAACAGCTAACCTGTCAGTTTCGAAAGAACCTGTTGGTAGCGAGTGTTGTCAGAAATGATTTTAAAGCGTTTTCCAGCCAGTATTATCAAATTCTCTTCATTCGTTGTGCATATGTTTAACCAGCCATTAAATCACGTCCATACAAACAGAACATCGATGGACATTTTGCATTTTGAGGAATTTATACAAAGCCTGCAATTAACCACCAGGGCCCACTTGCACGAAGCGATCTTAGCGCTAAGACTATCGTAAGCCTATGTTGAAGTATGGTAGTTACGATCATCTTAGCGCTAAGATCATTTTGTGCAAGTGGGCCTTGGGGAAACCTATAAAACTGATACCGTGTAGATGTTTGTTTGTTGTTTAACGTCGCACTCAGCAATATTTCAGCTATATTCCAGTGATTGACTTCATGAGCATCCATCCACCCAATTTGGATACGATGACATGTATCAAACAAGTCAGCGAATCTGACCACCCGATCCCGTTAGTCACCTCTTACGACAAGCATAGCTGCCTATTCTAAGTAGATGTAGATGTATCCGATAGACATAATTAGACATGTGGACGGCACCGTTTCGAGTGAAACCGTCTGTATGTTGCTCTGTCCTCATGACAATAAATTGATGTTTCCATCGTGTAACCAGGATTTTGTGGCAGTAGCGTGGTTCGGACTAAAAGGTTTCAAGTCAAGAGCAACCCGATGAAAGTGATATAGAAGAATGCAGGTTTTCAATCGGACAAATATGGATATCAATTTTTTATGTGGCACTTTACCTTCAAGTTTCAAATTTTCGATGCGCCGTTTTACATCCTGTTTCTTTTGCCATTCAATATAGTCCTCAATCTTTGTCTTCGTTCTCGTTTTGGCTGATGGAACCCAAAGTAATGATTCAATAGATGCCAGACCTGATAAGTTTGGAAGTCCTTTTTCAGTGCAAAGGGGGCGAATATAATCCTTGGCCTCTGTGACACGAATTTTCGCAATTAGTTCGTCTCTAGTGAATTTTGCTACCATGTCGTTGGTTGTACGATGTGTTTGAACTACTAACACAAGCCAGCATAGTTTGGCAATTATCCAAGGTCTCTCAACAATACTTCCGCCAAAAACCTCGTCTGTCTGCAGACGGACATCAAGCTTTGTCCCCTTAGTCATTTCGGTCAATATGTTAAAAGCTTCCTCCTGGTCGTCGTCGACATATATTAAAGCAACATCATGCATTCTTTGCAAACACCACTCTAAGTCAGGCTCATCGGAAGGTGGAGGATTTGGACTGCTGGGTGGAGATGATGGCACCGGGGGGAAGTCAAAGTCTTCCATCCTTATCTTTCACTGCAATAACAACCAGAAATGTTTGCAAACCCACGTCACAGCTAATATCTGTATAAATACCAAGAATATCAATGTATTAGACTCACATGTAATGCTCCACAACTACAGAAATGTGTTACTTATGCGTATATGATATGGTGTAAGTATAGTGTGAGAATGCAACGCGATAGGGATGTAGTGAGTGAGTATGCTTTTACGCCACTTTTAGCAAAACCCCAGCAATATCACGGCGGTGGACACAAGAAATGGGCTTCACACATTGTACCCATATCGGGAATCGAACCCGGATCTTCGGCGTGACGAGGAAACGCATTAACCACTGGGCTACCCGACCGCCCCCAATAGGGATGTAAGTAGGTCATGCATGTGCATGTACAAGTGCATGTGCTTACAAAATTGGCACACAATCCGCAAATCACATCTGTATCATTTTAACATCGACTTTATTTATCAATGTCACACACATTAACAGCAGTGTAAACTCCTCGAATATTGGCAGTTTACACTTTCTTCATTTTATTTCACAGACATAGACACGGGAGATAACTCATGGGTAACCTTTGAACTCATACATTGCTGGATATTGTGTTTTTCAGAATGCTGAACTGCACTGGTTCTATACTTGTCTGTACACTATACATATGTATTTAAACTCTATTATGCTATTAACTATCAAGTGCAGTACTTACCTGTGTTGACATGGCAGCAAACGCGCTATTGCCAGCTCGCTTGTAAATACTTCCTTGTTTCGTTTTAATTTTCATAGTCGGGACAGAAATAGATGTGTAATGCTATGCTGTGTGGATTAAAGTAAATTTACCATCACCCGTCATATGGATGTCTGTTGTTGAACTCTCTCCGAGGCAGGATAACCTTTCAGGTCAACTGAACGTGTATTAAGAATCACAAATTGACACTACAGGGTGGAACTACGAACACGACATCACAATCCTAACTATGAGGAGATATCTAAACTTAAAGTTTACTTCCTAGAAGAGGATCTATACATTAATGTAATAACAATGTGTAAGGTGCTTCCCAAAAAATAATAGAACGTACATAATCACCTTATTGTATCCGTAATGAAGTCACACCTCTCGAGTGCAGGGCGCCTGTCATATGTAGGTCAGTCGACATGGTTGATGCGCATGACACTGAGCGTCACATGTGCAAGTGGGAAGGGACAGTGAGCTAACTCGCTGTCTTTCTCCATATCCATTTCCAGCAAAATTGTTCACACTAATTTCTTGTTGCGGGTACGGGGCTTCTAACTGCTAACCATGGGGCAGGAGGCATAGGCTTACACAGGCTCTTGCCAAACCATAATACAGTCATATACCACCTCCCGTTAACGCCTAGTGATCACAATAAATCTGTAATCTGAAACCACAATCTCTTTACATAGGACACAAAATGTACAAACATGCAGTTAATCTACGTTTCCGGATACAACATATGTACATGTACCTCCCCGGCATAAAGGAGGTTATCTGTATAATCGTGTAGACTGAAATAAGTTTTTGTTTCTGCCATCCGTTCGGAAAACGGGTCCTTATCATACGCTTAAACCTCTTATATATAATAAACACACTCGTAGTGGGTGAAGATTCAGCTTCTGTGATGCAAACCAATGTCAAACAGGTGAGGTGTTTAACGTCGCGTCCCATATAATAGCACTTATAAAGCGACGTTCATGCACATGTGTGTGTGTGGCTGCTTGTACTACTCCGGACTGATGCCGATTTAAAGGGCTACTAGCCCACTGAGATATCATGCCGAAATTCAACATAAATACCCAACGCAGACACAGTATACTGAGCCGACCAGTCCTTGTTTTAGCCCCTTTACGCCGAGCGCCAGACAGGGTAACATCAAGTACCATCTTTTCACGTCTTTTGGTATGACGCGGTCGGGGATCGAACCCTGGACTTTCTGCTCTCCGGGCGGACGCTCTACCACTAGACCACGTAGGCGGTCCAATATATAACAGTTATAACAATATAAATTATATTATATTAACATATAATAGTTGAAGCGAACCTACTGATTTCGAAAGGACAATGCGACGTGGATGTTATGCTATGGGAAAAAGCGAGTACACTTATTTGATAATCATAATAAATATCTATTGAAACCACAGTCTATTTTAAACGATTGTAACTATATTATCAACATGTGTTTATGAAACACTATCAATTAGTGATGATACCAGGTGTTGGCGAAAAGGCGTTCCGTATCCTGCCTCACTGGTGGCACCCTTCACATACAAATGCAAAGTCAAGTCAAACGTTCACATGAATACAAGTCAAAAAAGAGCTGCAGTGAATTATGTCACTGATGCGTTATAAATATGGAAAGTCCTCCACATTTCTGCCATTTTGCAAACTACAATAAGCCTATACATGCTCTAACCCTGACAACTTTCAAGCAAGAATTTTATTACTCTTTTGAAGTAATATACTTATACAACAAAATCATTAAATTATTAAAGTAATATGATGAATAAAAGATCAGGTGTAGGGAACAGTGAGGCCATCTTATGACAAAGGTGCAACACAGAACAAAATTATCATATTATAGGTAATACGTACACAGTGAATGAGTGATTTGGGGGGTTAAATCGAACAATGTAAAGGATGGAGAAAATAAGGTTTTGAATGCCGTAGCACACGTATTGTCTCGTTTACTCCTCCGAATTCTGACGGATCTACTTTTCCGTCGATTGGAGATACGTACAACACATACGCCTAAACAACCTAGTATTCCATCAGCTCTTCCATTTGCTGTCCCGCGCACTGTTCCTGTTTGGATCATGTACCTGTCAATAACAACGATCAAACACTGAAAAAACACTGCCTTGAACTGAACGGGAAAGCTCAGTCTCATGAGTCAATAGCTGGCACTCATATAAAACACTTTATTAAAACAATCTTCCAGACTTCATCTGCGCCAGTGAGACATTCCTGTGGTCTGAGGTAATTCTAAAATCAAGGGCTACGTCATTTTCCGACTGGAAAGCTAAATGTCACATATCCTCTTAGAGGAAGCTGTGCAATATTGGTAAAATCTGATTTGTCCTTCAAAAAGCAAAACTTGGATAAAACTGTTTAAAGCCAATGCAGTTAAGAATTACAATGACAAACTCAGGCAATCACTGTGATTTGTGATTTGTTTAACACATTTTAGAGGAATTAGGCTTGGTGACTTTAAATGATGGTCAAATGACCCAATATGATATGGGGACAGGGATGTTTTCTCCCTTGGACCTGACGATGATATTCTCCCATTTGCATTTAGACGTAACTGGGATGTGTTCCAAGACGATGTTATATGTTGTGATCGCTTGAAACTAATGTCAGTCCTCGATAGAAATGTAAAAATATAACCTGGTCTGATGTTTCTTCTCTTTCTGAGCAGCATATACTTCTGAAATGATCTGAAGATGTTGATTTTTCAAATGATAACATTAATAAACAAAATACCATTAGAAAAACGTCAAGTAAGCAATCTGTCATATTTCACTTCGTTGTGATATGTTTGTATTCTGAAAGAAACGAACCGAGTTTCAATGCGTAGTTCGAGGGGCAAAACGATCTAGCTGCCGAAACTTTATTCAAGTATAAATACCTTTACTCCATTATCCTATATTTGGTCTGGAATCAAAAGTTTCAGTAGTACCCATATCCTGTTAATATACCTGTTTTAGGTGTAGACTGCAGTAGAATTATCGATTTTCGGAAGGCCAATTCACTCTCATAACTTGCTGAGGGATTTCAGAAACTCAAAAAATCGTATGACAACACATGCTTCCAATCTTTGCAAAATTATGGAAAGATAGACACAAATCGGTTGAAGTTTTGCTTGTGAAGAAGAGGCTTATCTCAAGAATACAATTAGGCTTTTAACCGAATCACAACAAGTTTTATGCAATCAAGAGGACATGTTATGCATCTTCCTTAAAGCTGAAAAATCATATGATTTGGAGAAAAGGACAAGATAGATTCGTTTTATTTTTTCAGAAAGATCTATTTTCTGGGTTTTTTTCCATTTAATTGAGAATGATTCCCCACAAGATGGTGTTATTAGCCCTGTGATTTTCAATGTTAGGATAAATGACATTTTCATTGATTTCCCATTAAATATAGATGCATCCCAGTTTGCTGATGATGGATCATTTGGGAAACGGTTTGGAAATTTCATGTCTTTCGCTATATCAATTCGGAAATGCTTAGACATCATTTCTGTGTTGTATTCTAAGTTAGGTTTTAGTTAGATAAATTGGGTTACATCTCAAAATCTCTTGCACTGGTGAATGCATATAATGTCCTCAAAGGTCGTTGCCGTTAACACATGTCTCTCAAATATTATCTCAAACCGATATCTAAATCCAACCATAATTCAGCTGATGAAGTTGTTAATGAGAATGTTGCATTAGCGGTTGGTCAAATGACAAGGTCCCGTTTGGTTTGAGAATTCAGAAACCTACTTGGTCTGCACATTCAGGATACTGCTCCTTCTCTGCTTCTGAATCTGGGCTTTGTTGTGATCATAATCCAATAATTAGCAAAAGAACGAGTCCACATATCACAAAAATGAAGATCAGGATATTAGAGCTGAACATTATGCCAATTTCATACACATTTTACCGATGCTTCAAATGCTTTTGACATGGTTCGTACTGATGGGGCATAATGGGCTGCTTGGCAGAACCGTTCTGCAGTTGACGGCCTCTGACGTTAGCACATATTATGGCTGCTTTCTGTAAGTTGTTTCCCTCTGTTCTGAGTGCTTACATGATGACAAGGTCCCGTTTGGTTTGAGAATTCAGAAACCTACTTGGTCTGCACATTCAGGATACTGCTCCTTCTCTGCTTCTGAATCTTGGCTTTGTTGTGATCATAATCCAATAATTAGCAAAAGAACGAGTCCACATATCACAAAAATGAAGATCAGGATATTAGAGCTGAACATTATGCCAATTTCATACACATTTTACCGATGCTTCAAATGCTTTTGACATGGTTCGTACTGATGGGGCATAATGGGCTGCTTGGCAGAACCGTTCTGCAGTTGACGGCCTCTGACGTTAGCACATATTATGGCTGCTTTCTGTAAGTTGTTTCCCTCTGTTCTGAGTGCTTACATGATCTGCCGGTAGGAGAAGAGTTTGAAATATATGTCAGTGCTGCCAAACGTTTCTCAGTGACAGGAGTGGGCTCGCAGGCGTGGACTTTGAGCCAATCATTTGAGTTGTCCCCTGCTTCTTGCCAATGGTAGTGCATGAAGCAGCAGGGAGATTGTCTCTCAGATGCACCCATCTTTACTTGGTAGTCACCCTGTGGAGGTTCTGCGAACCAGATAATACAGGACACGAGCATAGGAGTCATCCGCCATTCTGCCTTTTCGGAAAAACAAGCATTGAAGACCACAAATATGGTGTGATGCTGTACTATTGGCGGTCAATAAGTTTTGAGGACTATCCCTCCATGTTTCGGCCACCAAATTGTTCTGTCATGAATAAAAGTGCGCCACTCTTTATCCCACCACAAATGTATTTCGTCATTGATGACAGTTTATACCATAGTTTCTTCTCAAATAAAAACAAACAGTTGTAAATATCTTGGTTCTGTGTCAAATAAACATTATGTATTACAGTATATTATCTGGGTTATCTATTTGTGCCATGAGTGATTTCTGGTCTTTTAAATCACCTGTCAAATCACCAAGCCTAGAGCAGAAAAACTAGCGAGCGTGATCAGCGATCCAATCCAACGAAGCAGGATGTTAAGCAATAAGCAAGTCACAGATCCTGAGTACCCTGTCATATCTAGTTTAGCCCTGGACAACCAGCAGTATTCTATGATGGGTAGGGGTTTGAGGGACTCAGAGGTAGAATAATCGAAAGGGTGAACCTTTCAACTACATTGAGGGTGGTGACATGATTGCAACATTATTAATAAAGCCTTTAGGATTCGTTGTGGACAAGAATAAGTCCGTGCACATGTATTAAATAATTCAACACAGTTAAATTGATTTGTGTATCTTGATTTGTGTATCAGTCTGGGGAGGCAATCAATGAATCTTTATGTAATGCTTGTGCATGGTTTCAACACGTATTGTACATGTTCAGTTGTGGCAATCAATGCGTTACCTCGCTGAAGTAACGTAATACCTTGGCAAAGTGCCAGTATTTACTTCTGGGTTTGTGCTCTAAACGTACTTCGTGCAAATGGATTCGGATGTAAAGAGGTTTGTTGTAGAAATATTTTATTGTAAACAGTCTTAATGATTAGGCAGGTACAGCCCTATTGAAAACAAATTGTGATAAGTAAAATGTAATAAGGAATCGCTGTGTTCATGACATAGTCAGGATACATGTACTGATAGTTCACCCGAGTTAA